GTTTCTACACAGCTGGTACAGTCGGTTCCCCATTGGTGACAATTGGGTGGGGGGCGTGACCTGAAATAAGGTAAAGGTGGACTCGGCAACTTTAATTTAATATTAAAATCCAGTTTCTGTTATGTGGCGCTGGTGTAACTTCTTCTGTGTGATCAGCTGTTTCCTTAACTAAACTCTAGTGAACAGGAAAAGAGGGAATGGTAATACAGACACTCATCTCCCTTAAACGGCCCAACAGACGAGTATTTTTAGGAATTATGTTAGAATTTTCGTGGCGCATTAATCCGAGATAAAGTGAGTTTTACTAACATGAACCCCTTCCTCTTACTCAGTGATTAGATATATAATTATTATCATCGCATAATAAAATGAAAGGTTTATAAAATGAATTATAAACCAGACCTAGGCTAAAACTGCGGTTCTTAATGTTGTACATTAGTTTAATAAGGATAGCAGCAGCCTAAATGTCGTTGTTGTCTGTACCGCGACACCTTGCGGTAGGATTCCACTTTACACAATGCAGACAGTGTTATGGGCTACACTGGCTATATGAGCCTTATTTTAAGAATATTCATAATCTTCGATAGCCTACGTTTATATTTGAACGTTTTCTGTAAGTGGCATTGAAGCCTCTCCTGTTGCAAAAAAGGTGTAACCGATGCTCCTTTTATGCTGTCAGAAATGATCCCATCCCTTTAAACGCTCGGCTATCGAAAGGCAAATAACACCCGCCTCTGAGGTTAACTATGTTCCGTTAGCACTTGTTATCGGACCATAGTTCTGGCCCAGGACGTCGCTTCTCCATCTATGACTGATGCAACAGCTGTTTCTGATGACGGCGGCTCAGCTGGATCCACTGTCAGGCAGCTTTGTTCTGTGATAGATAGTGATAGACAGCTCCACATTTATTACAAATCTGCATTATTCTGTGCTCACAACAGTCAAACTACACTATGTAAATTCACTACTCATGAAGTTGCACATAACCCATTTACAGTATAATGACAGCAGTACAGTTGTTAATGCAATATTTATTTGCTTCTGTATTCTGATATTATGTTTTTAAACTCATTCACCAATGGCTATTCCCCAGTTCACCAATCCAAGTTATGGCTTTAATGCTTTACAGTGTTTTGTAAAAATGACTAATTACTAGCACAAATGCTTTGGATGTACATTATGTAGTCTAATAGCCTATATCACATAACACTAAATTTAAAGATGCATTAACTAAGATTTTGGACAAATTCAGATAAATCAAGTAAAAAATTGTTTAGATGTATTGTCTCCCTGCTGTACTAACCCCACCACCACCACTCTGCTATCTTCAGTCCTTGTGTTTATTTCTTGCCCTCTGTGGCCACTGTTGTTAAAATCCACACTGCACTTCTTCCACACCCCGATGACCTGAGGTTATAAGATGCATTTTTCAAACCAGTATGGCTCATTTCAGTTAGAGACCATGGAGGCTGCCTGTGCAGGTACAACCCAGGATGGGAGCGGAGCCAGGAGGCCACGTTCTGTAGCACAGATAGAGTGTGACACAGAACGAGGCAAAACCATGGTTAACATTAGTTTGGCATGTCGGAGATGGAGAGAAATAAAAGCTTCCAAAGGACTAAAGTTTGACATGGATGTGGTTTTCTTCCTTACTAGTACTGTAGCTGGCTAATGTGTATATGTGGGCATCATCAGCAAGCTAACGTTAGCTTTTCAATAAAGGATGTGAAGTTAGAGTCACGCCATGTTGAATTTTGGATAAATGCACCATTTTGAAAGATCACGCTCATTATTCATCATAGAGTTGTACACTACATACATCTATAAGTTAATTTAAAATAAATACTGTACTATCTCATACAGCTGCATACAGTAGCGGATGCTTCAGCTACATCCAAAAATCCACTTTAGTGGTCAGTTTTATTGTGAGTGGTCAGTATTTTAGTGAGAATCTGTTAAAATATACACCATCAACACAACTCAAAAAGTGGGGAGTTTGTTCAACCATTAATGTATAACATGAAATTTCTCTTGATTCACATACAACTCTCAACAGCATAGCTCCAAAGGGTTAAATAACGAAGAGAAAAACATTTCTAAGGAAAAGTTGTTCATAGTTCTTTTTCCAGATGTACAATTAATATTGGTCCATTACTATTAACTAAGCCTAGATGGCAAAAATGAAAACAAAGAGGACTACAGTAAAGCCTTGAGAGTCTTAAATTGGTTCTGTTAGTCTACTTGTCTGTCTACTTCCGTAGGCTAATAAAGAGCAGTGGTGTTCAAATCAGGGAAATCACAATGCAGACAGGATATTTTATATGAAATATTTTACATACTGTTTAGGTTGTATTATACAGGTCTTGATGTACCTTTCATTTGAGTTCCAGGTCATCTAGGGGTCAAAGGAAATGAAGAAGTAGACGTACTGGCAAAACAGTCATTAAAATTACAAATAACAGAGTTACAAATTCCATCAAGTAGCACTAAAGGTAATACAATAGTTAATTGTCATATGCATAAAGTCTGGCAAGAGTACTGGGAAGACACTATTACAATATACAAAAACAAGTAGGTGTAAATAGAACATAGCGAAAAAATCAAAGGAAGAAGATACTAGTAACTGGTCTGTGAATTGGACACACTGGATTTAATCAAGTCAGTTCACAGAATAGGCAAGCACCCTACTGGATTAAGCATATACTGTAGTGCTCCAGAAACAGTTATACATTTATAATTGCAATGAACACAGAAGGGAACGGATATCTGTATTAAGGAGTGAAAAACTTTTTACATTGGAGAATAAGTTAGGAAAGGGATTATCAAAAAAACTTTATGATCTTCTAATTAGGTATTGGGTTGGTACAGAGAATTTAGGTATCAAAACCATTTTTTTATTAATTGTTATTAGTTTTTGTAGTGTTAACAAGGTGAACTGCTAACACTGTGAATTGGACACACTGGATTTAATCAAGTCAGTTCACAGAATAGGCAAGCACCCTACTGGATTAAGCATATACTGTAGTGCTCCAGAAACAGTTATACATTTATAATTGCAATGAACACAGAAGGGAACGGATATCTGTATTAAGGAGTGAAAAACTTTTTACATTGGAGAATCAGTTAGGAAAGGGATTTAATATGGACATAAAACTGAAAATCAGGAAGAGGTGGGAAGCTTTCAAGTCAGGGGACCAAGCGGAGTACAAGAGAATGTCAGGGTTGCCCGGCTGCACCCTCCTCTCACTTCTGTGATCAAGCAACCCTAACAGAAAGCCCAGTACAAGCTACAGAATCAGAATCAGAATCTGCTTTATTGGCCAGGTGTCAGGAACAGCGTGTGAAGCTGCCCACAGTGTCAAGGGTGAACTCAATTATAAAGCCAGACGAGTAAAAACAGAACACGGACTCTTTAATAAGAGCCCTGGTCTGACAAAAACGATACACAATGCAGGAGTCTGATTCCACAAGTAACACTCTCAGGTCAATAATACACTCCAGGGTCAGAGCCAGAAAACTTACACATGCAAGGTATCCATGAGAAACACGGTCAGAAAGGAAGGTCCAAAGGTCAATACACAGAAAACATGATCTGAATCAGGAGGGTCAGGCAATACTCGGTGGTCACAAGGTAATCTGGGGTCAGCATTGGAATCACAGGTACAGGAAAAACGCTGGAAAGTCTGAACAGGAATCTAGAACAACGTGGCAGCTTCCTGTGGGGAGGAAGCTGCCTATAAAGGGGTGTAAACAGGTGCAAAGAATTGTCATTGATTAGGGTAAAGAGTCAGTGGCTGAGATGAGACTGTAAGAGGAAGTAATGTCAGTGGAACAGAATCATCACAGCCAGGTCAGACTGGCTGTGTCGGACACACGAGGAATTTGATTCTGGTACATCGGCTCTCAATGTGTATGTACATATCCCCATGCAAGGGGCAAGTAAACAGTAAACTAGCATAAGGCTGTGTAATATAACAAAATAAGCAGTATTAACAAGTAACAGAAAGTGCAAATAATGCGAAATAAGCAGGATAAACAGGCAGTAAACAATGCAGACAGACAAAGGAATGTTCATTGTGATTTCTTATAGAGTACTTAAAAATACCGACCTGTATGGATCTGAATCGTCTGTGCCATGTACATTTACAGGTACTTCGCTGAGGGTTATTGTCCAGTCATACTACTGTTGGTCAAGTGTTCATCAGAGTGATGGCCTCAGGGAAGAAACTGTCCTTGTGCCTGGTTGTCTTGGCACACAGTGACCTGTAACGCTGACCAGAGGGGAGGAGTTCAAACAAATTGTGTCCAGGGTGGGAGGGGTCTGCAGTGATCCTCTCCACCCTCTTCCTGAAGTCCACTGTCATCGCCACTGTTATGAGCGTGGTCAGCTCCAGGTTGTTGCGGCTACTAGCTGCTCAACCTCCCGTCTGTAGGCTGACTCATTGCTGTCTTAGATGAGACCAATGACCGTTGTGTCATCTGCAAACTTTAGGAGCTTGACAGAGGGGTCCTTCGAGCTGCAGTCGTCGGTGTACAGTGAAACAGCAGAGGGGAGAGCACACATCCCTGGGTGGCGCCTGTGCTTATTGTCCGGGTGCAGGATGTGGTTTTCCCCAGCCTCACCTGCTGCTCCCTGTCTGCCAGAAAGCTAGTAATCCACTGATAGGTGGGGACAGGCACAGTGAGCTGGGTCAGTTTGGAGTGGAGGATGTCCGGGAAAATAGTATTGAACGCTGAGCTGAAGTCCACAAAGAGGGCCTGTGCATAGGTCCCTGGGGAGTCGAGGTGTTGCAGGATGTAATGCAGTGCCATGTTCACTGCACCGTCCACTGACCTGTTTGCCCGGTAGGTGAACTGCAGGGGGTCTATGGTGTCCTTCAGGTGGGCCAACACCAGTCTTTCAAAGGACTTCATAACTACAGATGTCAGGGCGACAGGTCTGTAGTCGTTCAGTCCACTGATGGAGGTTTTCTTGGGGACTGGAATGATGGTGGAGCGTTTGAAGCAGGAGGGGACTTCACACAGCTCCAGTGACCTGTTGAAGATGAGTGTGAAGATGGGGGCCAGCTGATCAGCACACACTTTCAGGCAGGAGGGGGTCACACCACTCTGGGCCTGGTGCCTTTCTGATCCTCTGGCTTTATTCCACACCCTGAAATCCCTGGACAGCAGCAGAACATATGTTAGGATGCTCTTCCTGGACTACAGTTCTGCATTCAGTACCATTCTCCTGGGCAGGCTGATCGAGAAGATGACAGACCTCAGTGTCCCGACTCCCACCTGTAACTGGATTTTGGACTTCCTGACTGAAAGACCACAGGTGGTTAGAATGGGAGTGCGAGTCGGGTTACAGAAGCTTGGTGAATGACATTCTTCTTTATGGAGAAGAGAATGACCTCATCCTCAACATAAATAAGACAAAAGAACCAATAGTAGACTTCAGGAAGAACTCCTCCCCTCTGCTGCCCCTGACCATCAAAGGGACTAAGGTGGAGAGGGCTGACAGCCACAAGTTCCTGGGCCTGCAGGTGACATCTGACCTGAGCTGGTCACTGAACACAGCTGCCACAGTGAAGAAAGCCTAGCAGCAGCTATACTTCATCAGACAGCTCAGGAAAGCTGGTCTGAACCGTCGCCCTCTCACCCAGGCTTATAGAGGACTGGTAGAGAGCATCCTCACTACTGGCATCACAGTCTGGTATGGTAACACCACACAGGCAGAGAGGAAGGCTCTAGAAAGGGTCATAAACACTGCAGAGAGGATCACTGGGACTGAACTACCTGCTATGGACACATTGTACACACAGCTACTATTTTAATTCTTATGTAATTTTATTTTTAGCCTAGGTGTTCTTTTTCTGGCTTTTGACTCTTTACTTGACTCCAGGAGAGCCCTGCACAAGAATTCCTATATGCCTAGACTGTCTGTTTATGCATAAATGGCAAATAAAAATCTTGAATCTTAAATCTTTTTTTGCTAGTGTAATGAGCCAGTCCAGTGGGTGGCGGGAATGGATCTGAAAGTTGGTTTGCCACCCGCCTTTAAACACAAAGAAGAAGAAAAAGAAGTAGGAAGAGAGGAAGAAGAAGCCAAAGAATCGCCGCGGCTTTGGCTTGCGCATTAGCACATTGAAGATAAACCACACTGGAAGTGGCGGAAGCTCCAGAGGGTTTAACGTAGTGTTTTTTGTGTTTTATTTTGGCGTTTATCTTCAGTTATACATCTATACTGGTAAGTCACTTATATGTTGTTTATTATTATTTATAATACCCCAAATTAAATGTCCTATTTTCTGTAGGTGTCCCTTCATATTTTTCTACAAAGCTAACCTAGTAGTAGTCATAGCTAGCGGTTAACAGAAGGAATAGCTAGCAGAAGATGAACTGCATGTCACATTTGTGCTATAAAGTTACCACAAAACCGTTAATTTTGTGTAATTAAGACGACTATATTTTTCACGGTAGCCCATTTCAGTAGTCGCTCTTAACACGAACGCTCGGTGGCTAACAACATTGGCTAATCATAAAGCTCAACAAGAATTCCCAGATGTTACATAATGCTAATTGCAGGAGGGCAATGCACGGAGACTGACCTCACGTCACCCACACAATGCTCAAGGGCGGATAACGTTTTCAGTGTAAAAGATTAGCTGGTGAATTAGCGCAGTTACAATAACGTTTTCAGTGTAAAAGATTAGCTAGTGAATTAGCGAAGAGTAGTGGTTATTCCACACTGTTATGATCCTTTTGGGATTGGTGATTGACCCCAGTGTATTAATGAACATCTGGTCCCTCATGACAGTCGGTCCAAAATAAAGTTTACATAACTTTAGCACTAATCTAGTTCAAGTACTTTGTCTATAATAACCTTGAATTTTTACAGTCTAATTTTCTTTGGGGAAATTTTCAGCTTGTCTTATCCCTGTGACCCAAAAAAGCAGCCATTAACCATATCTAGAAGATGGTTCACAGCCACTGTCTTGCACATTTTGAAGATCATTGTATTAAATTGTAACTCATCACAGTTGTTTGATCGGACGCTGGTCTAACTGCCTATTTCCTTAGGTTTTAAAGTCTTCTTATCTGTTTCATGACACTCATGGCGTTGTGCTCATCAAACCTCTGTATAATTTTAGGTCTAGAATCTGATATGGCCCGTGGGCACCAGAAGTTCCAGTCCCAGCAGAAGAATGCCAAAAAACAGGCAGAGATCAAGAAGAGCAAAGGCCACGATCAGAAGGCAGCAGCTAAGGCTGCTTTAGTATACACATGTACTGTGTGTCGGGTATGTGCTTAGATGTAAAACGGAACATGTTCTTTCATGAGCTTGATAACAATTAACCTTAATCTTAGGATGGTACTCAGTAGATGGGTGTCATTCAAAGTAGCCACGTGTTCCTTTATTGAGAATACTAGTAAACTGTTCTCAAAAATTACTTTTTTTTTCTTTTTTAAAATAAATGTGTCAAAGAGAGTTTACTTTAAAAAATGTGAATACGATTCAGGTGATGCCTGTACCAGATCATCTCACTTCACATGTTGCTCAGTACGCTACGCTGCCCAAACCAACTACCTTCAAAAGCACCACTGAGCTATGAGTTTACTAGATATTTTTCATTTCAATATAAATCTGTCATTGTGCTGTATTTAGTGGTGTTGTTGTTTTAAACTACATCGTAATTGCTAGGTTTTTCTCATATTTTGGTAGTTGTGCAGTTTTCCCTAATAAGTGGGCACTGTCAACATATCCTTACCAAGCTAACAAAACAGAGTGCTCTTGCAGCTCCTCCGTTTTCATCGTGTTATGACAGAGCTTTTAAGATTCATCAGCATTTCAAATATGTTGTGTGTGATGGATGATGAACTAAAGATGACCCAGAGTTTCTGCATGTGTCAACTTTGGGGAAGTTTAACCAAGTCTTCTAGCCTGTACATTCTCTTTTAGACACACAGGGCCATTCAGAAAGTTGATTGGAGAAACTCTTACCACATGTTATCTCTCCAAATCTTTCCAAGACTGTCTGATGCACATTGCAGGTATGAAAGTGTGCTTCATAAGTGCCTCATAAATTGTGCTGGGCAGTAACACATTACTTAGTACCATGTTACAATAATATTATTACTCTCTTTAGTATGGGGTGGTGTAAAGGATTGCAAAGCACTAACAGTAGTTACTAAGCCAGAGAAAACCATGTTGCCTGAATGCAAATCGACTTTTGTCCTTAATACATGTGCCCACAGGCCAGTTCAGAGCGGCTTCCTACCAAAAAGCTGAGAACTCTAATCAGGGCTCGCAAAATTTCAAAATCCCTGGTAGCCCTTCGGGCAGGTACTCTTTGGTTTTTACTAGCCCAAAATGAATTTAAGTAGCCCGAATAAAATAAGAAAAATATTTTTAATGTAGAATATCAATAATCAGCAACTGTGTCATATTGAATCTGACATATCAACTGAAGTCACAAATGGCACTCGACATTGAGGGCACAGCATCTTCTTCATCATCCTTCACCTGTGCATCAGTCTCCACTTCTCTGCTCTTTGTTCTTGTCTGGGTTTTATGTTCCATGTGTCTTGAACCTTTTCCAGAAAACATCCAGAAACTAACTGCCTTGT